AGGGTAGAATTGAGTCTGTCTCTCATAAGGTGATGACTGGAGAGAGGCTTCATCTCTCCTTGCTGTGTAAACAAGCCCATAACACTCTTTGTGCCACCTTAGGGATGGGATGCTCTTTGGTTACCACGAGGGCCCTGCGTGCTCCCGGTGCACAACAAGCCTTCCTTGCATCTGGCCCCAGCACGCTTGGGGCTGTATGGGCACATCAGAGTGCTGAATTTGCTTGTGTTCTGTGTTCAACAAAACTTGGGGTTAGAATGTTGACTGAGAAATAAGCAAGGGGAAGTGAAAGCAAAGCTTAATCGGTTTTTCTTTTTTTGCTTTTCTTTTGAAGACAAGCACTGGAAAAGTATTCAGCGTGATTGCCTTGTTTGAAAACAATATGGAGATAACTTTGTACAAGAATGGTGGAAGTCTAAACTTTGTGGCTCGAAGATTCTTGTAGTAGCTACTGAATCTCTGGGTGCCCTGCATAACTGGTAATGCAGCCAATGCCTTGTGTGAACCCAGGAATCTGTACCGTGGAACTGCAAACAGTCCTAGTGTGCTCAAAGTTACTTCGTCCATGGATGTAAAAGATTGTGAATCATTGTAACTGCAACGAGATCCTTTCTGATTTTGAATAATATTCTAATGGTGCTATTAAACATTGCTAAAATCAACATGTGTATTGTGACAAGAGAGCTGTAAGTATGGAGGGGATGTTTTATCAGACCATTTTGTAAATAAACTATGCGAAATTGAAACTGATTGTGCTGAAGATTATTATGTAAGAAGATTTTCTGCAGTTGTTTCCACTAATTTTTTGCACCTGTAAATCTGTGTACTGCTGTTTGTTGGTATAAGAGTAACAAGATGGTAGGGAATTTTAAAGGCCAAACAGATTTTTTTTCCCTCAACCAAAGCTTAAAAAAGATACAGTTTTCAATTTCTTTAGGTTATGGGCTGAACAAAAAGCAGCCCATATGAGGCCCATGGTATCCTGTAGCACAGATGTTGACTTCCTTACCTTTATGGGATTATATATCCTCTGGATCCAGATTTAAACTGCTAAAGCTATGAAGTATGTAAAATTCTATGTGCTTAGAAATATGGGAAACATTTCTGCATTTAAAAACAAATCTCCCAGTTGTTTCACTCATGCAGGTTAAGCCATGGTTCTTCATGCCTTTCAACTGAAGTTTGTCACATCTGCTTTAAGGGATGCACTTTTGTCATTTGTGACATCTGTTTTTATTGTGCTCTCTGCAATATCATTAGAGAAATACCTCCTTGTAAAGTTTTAACCTTTAAAGCCTTTTAAAACATTTGGTAGGGCTGTTTAAATTCATCTGCTTTAAAAACAACCTGTCTAACACATTACACTTGTCAGGTGTTCAAGAGCCAGATGGCCACCCTGCCTTTGAGTGCATCCTCACATGCTGGCAGCTCTGAGGAGGAGCCCAGAGCACTGAACAAACCTGTCTCATGGCACTGCAGCAGCTGTGGCTGGAATTGTCAGCACAGAGGGCAAAGCCTCATAGCTCGTATTGGCAGGAAATGCAGAGTTGCTGCAGCGTGGCTTGTGTTCCCACAGAGCTTTGGTGGTGTCTGAGCTGTGTAAGTGAGTCTGCAGCTCCAGCTGGCTCTTCCTGTGCTCCTGTCTTGAAAAGCTTCATAACTCCACTTACAGTTTGTGTAGAGTTTAATTTCTGCTGGAAAACAAAACTGCAATACTTGCCTATAAATTGTCAAGATTTTGCTTTAAGGACTTTTGTTCTTGATTAATGTTGTCTTAAAACATACAAGAGGACTATAATTAGCTTTAGTTACATGTACTTTTAATTTATAACCAGATACTGAAATAGTTGACTTCTGAACTGACAGATGAACTGTTCAAATCTTTAAATAGTATGTTTGACATTCCTTTAAAAAAAGCCCCGAACCCAAAATACTGCAAACCTCTTGCATAATTATATCAATACAGTGTATTAATTTGTTGACAGTTCAAAAGCCAAACTAATTTGATTGACAGCAATTTGATACTTATTTTTCTGTTTTGTTAGACAACGTTGACTAAAGTTTGAAGTTCTGTATAATCTGGTTTTATATTTCACTAGTTTGATGTGATTTTCTTTTAGGTGAGATGAAAACCATTCCAGTGACTCCTACCACTTCTAAGGGGGGATAAATCAATGCAGTTTTGAATGTTATATTCAACGAATGCTGAACGAGTTCCTGTTCTGTGGTACACTTCCATTAATTCTATCCAGCGTGACTGGGCAGATCTTGTACTTCTTGTACAAGTGTCTGATACTATTTTATCCCTGCTCAAAGGTATATTCTTGATTTAGTTCAAGGAAATGTTACTGGGGAGAAAATGAGCATTTAGTGCTGGTACATAATGGTGCCTCATGCAGATGATACAACTGCAACTCCATGCCTATTTACTGATGCTTGAAGGAAACAGCCCCCTGCCCTTTCTCCATGCTTCAGGAGACAGGGATCCAAGCCACGTCACGGCAGATTGATGAGGTGAAGTGCAATTTCAAGGCATGTGACTTACCTGCAAGTTGTCACCAGTAAAGCAAGTCAGTTCTTTTTAGAGACATGGGCTGGCTTCATTACCTGAGCAGTTGCTTTGATTCTACTGCACTAATGTGGCTCGTAGGCCACGAGAGAGAAGTTCTGAGCGGTGCTTGGGCACAGGGGCTGCTCAGCTGGAGGCTCCTGTTGCTGCAGCAGGTCCAGCTGTCAGCCAGCCCAGGAGTGCCATGTCCAAGGTGTGCAGGCTGACCTCTCCCCTTGGAGCCCTACCTGTGGGACAGCACTGCCCATGTCCCATCTGCTCAGTGGTGGGGGCTCCTGGCTCGTGAGCCGTGGGAACAGCCCTGGTCCCTGTCCCCTGTGCAGAGCACAGCTCAGGAGGCCAGCAGCCAATGAAGGCATTTAACTCTGGACACACTGCTGGCACCCTGAGTGCCATAGGTGGGCAGCAGGGGCAGGGCCTGGGACAGTCAGGATTGCTCTACTCACACACCAAACATTCAGTTCCATCTCTCTTTAGTATCCTAAGGTGTAGGAGGATGTGTACCTGTTGGAGAAGTGACTCAGTGTGTTAGATAGATTTAACTTAGACCTCTCTCCATTTGGATTTGGGGGAAGAATCTTGTTGAAATTTTTGTAAATGTTTTCTTGCTTCCTTCTTCCTCCCCATCCCAAACTACAAAGCTTTGGGATAGTGTTGATGTTTATACATTTTACTCCTAAGTATAAGGCCAAGAAGCTATGTATATTAATGCTATTTAAGCAACTGCAAATCATTGTCTGCTGTTTAAAGCCAACAGAACAGTCTTAAGTTCAGTAAGTATTGCATAAATATATCTTAAGTTCAATTGATGAAAATTGTGCATAGAATGTTACCAATGTTGTAAATTATTTTTAATAAAGAAAAATGTATGACAGTTCTTGTATGTTACTGTCTATTTTGAATAGATAGTAAGGAATACACTTAAAATGGTACTGTGTGTGAAGGGGTGGGGTGAATATAAAGAAAGGGGATAATATTGTGTGTTAGAGAATGATGCGTGTTCCATTTACTAGTTTGGAGCGAGTTTGGGCTCACAAAGCACAAAGCATGCCTAGCTGGTGTGGAAGGATGTTCTCTGGGTCAGCTGTGCTCCGGACACCACTCTGGATGTTATATCAAGTGCCTTTTCAAGAACTTTTTCTTTCCCTTCTGAAAAATGTCTCATTTGGAATCTAGATGAAATCCTGTATAAAAGCAAGCTCTTGGCCAAGGTCACAACTCTGACAAGGTCCTCAGAAGTGATTTGGGGATGTCCACCACTAACCTACTTCAACCCCCACTTTCAGCACAGCATTAGACTGGAGTTCAACCCATGGATGCTAAATTATTCAAGTCTATCTTTCTTCAGATAATAAGACAGGCCAAAGTACAGCCTTCAAACTCTGCCTTGCCTCGCAACAACAGTGATCTTCCCCCAGAGCACCAGGCAGGCAGGAGAAGCACAGAAGTTTATAGGTCTGTGCTTTCACAGTCCAGTCTGGCAAATGAAGCAAGAATAAGGAGCACAGCTCTGCGTTATAATCTTGTTTGCAGAGCTCAGGAGTACATTTCTATAATCAGCCACAGCAAGAATGTTTTCCCACTGTATCGATTTTACTCCAATGAGCTAAAGCTCCAGGGCCTCAGAAATCAGGAGAGGGAACACGAAATATTTTACAGAGCTCTATTCTCTGGGGAAAAACCCCTTTATTTTGTTATTTCTAGTGAGAAGAGTTGGTCAAATACTTTTATTAACATCTGTTCTGAAACTGGAGAGAAAAAAAAATGTTTCTTGGGGAAATAGTTTCCCTTTTCTAAATTCCCTATTTGGTTAAAATAAGCATTTGATGAAGATAATCTTTTCAATTTTGGGTCCCTAATATTAGAAACAACACTGAAATTTTGTGATAGAGGATTTTTAACTGATTTACTTAAGATGCCTTAGGTGTTGTTTGGGTTTTGTGGGGAGAAGGGGTTGTTGGGTGTTCTTCAGCTGTCTTTCCTAAATTCCTTTTTCTTCAGGTTCCTAATTCTGTCATAGCAGGATGTCAACTACAGCAGATTACCTTTTTTCATTAGGAGTTTCAGAAGATATTTCTATATTAATCTTAAGGTTTGACATTATTTTCATTAAGGGTCAAATTTTCTAGGACTGGACCTATTGTCCCAGTAAAAACTCTCTGGGACAGTCTAAAGGACATCCCGAGCAAGATGCCTCAGGTTTGTTGTATGTATTTATACGTGGTCTTCAGTCTTAGCGTTTGGCAGAGATTTTCATGTGGTGTGCTGATAAAAGAGTTTAAAGAAAAGAATAAAACGGATGTGTTCCCTCCTGCCCGCTGCGGGCGCAGGGGGTTTTGAGCGCTCTGCCTCTGTGACAGGAAGTCGCAGCTTTCCTCCCCTCTCGTGCCGCTGGCAAGCAGAGCCCAGGGCCCGAGGCTGCGGCGCCGCTGCCCGGGGGCGGGCGCAGCCCCGCGTTCCGCGGAGCACGGCGGGGCAGGCGGGGGCCGGGCCCGGCTGCTGACGGCGGCTTCTGCGGTTCCTCGGCCTCCCCGGGCCGGGCAAAGGTTGGCGCGGCTCCCCGCCAGTCCGAGGGTTGTCCTCGTGTGCGGAGGCTCGGGATTCCTGCAGCTGGGCAGGCGAGAGACGAGCGAGCGTCTGCAGGTTTGTGCTGCCTTTCTTAGCACAGGAATTTGGAAGGCCATTACCAAGCAGAAAGATTTAATCTGCTTTAACGTTATGATTTACTAAAATAATTCTTGCCTTTTGCAAGCACGAATTGAACACCTCTGATCAGGGATCCAGCAACTCTGTTCCTGAGGGAGTCATTCCTACTATCAACAATACCAGCTTAGGCTGCTGCTAGAAACGAGCTAATAAAAGCTTGGTTAATAAGCTCTTCATATCTGCTGTTCTGAACAGATTGAGTGCATCTCTCTAGCAGTGTTTCTTTTGAGGGGCTGCAGCCTAAGTATTTGATAAGCTATGATGTAAGAAACCCGAGCTGGCATAGGGGATTGGTTTTCTTTGCTTGTTTGATAAATGTAGGAAACTCTTCTCCAGTAGCTGAATGCATTTTGTTGCAGTCATTACTGCTTCTGGTGTCAGAATACAGATCAGATCATCCAGCTTTTCTTTTTCTCCTAGAGACACAATGTCTTCTGGAAAAGACTGTCAACCCCAGACCTTGACCAAACCCACATTTGATGAGAGAGAGGCAGCTGAATTGGTTGACAGGGTGTTTGGATTGAAGGTATCTTGGATCAGGTCACTCCCCAGCTATGATGATCAGAACTTCCACGTGCGTGTCTCAGCTGAAGGTGCTGATGAGTTTGTCCTCAAAATCACCAACTCAGAAGACAGCCAGGAGCCTGACCTCATTGAAGCGCAGACCCAGGCCATGATGTTTCTCAGTGCCGAAGGCTTCCCTTCAGCGACTCCTTATCTGACAAAAGATGGTAACATAATGTCTCTGGAGTCGGGAGGTGAGCCACCGTGGGCACCTTTACTGCCCTGCTCTCACCCGTAGCTCGGCAGTAGCTTGCTGTATGGCATACCATGGGCATGCTATAGGGAAACTCTAGGCTTGTGTTTGAATGGTAGGGATATGCACCAGGTGACCTGTATTCCAGCCATAACAGTCCAAAGTTAAAATACCAGAAGCAAAGCAACTCAGAGAGATTAATAATTAACTGGGAAAACACTTAGGAAAACACTTCAGCTTAATGAATTGGAGAAAACATTTATCTGACACGTGTCCATGCACAGGAAAAGTTAAAAATGCCTCATTGACTACATGGTGCTTGAAATTATTTGCCTTAAGAGTGGTGTAAAATACAGTTCTCACCCATGCCTGAAACCAGAATAAATTGCTTTAATAGTGCTTGGGAGAAAAATTGTGTTGGCATTTAGCTTTTACTGTCACTGTAACTTCCAAACAACATTTGGGATTCCTGAGACCTGTTCTGCTGCAAAACTTTATGTGGGTGTGTACGGGCACTGCAGGAACCCTGCCTGGAGCTGAGTTTTTCTCAGCATAGATAGAAAAGTGTGTTAAGGTTTGTACATTACACAACATTCTGGTGAATCAAATCTTTGCATTTTTATGAGATACATCTGACAACTTCTACACTGGGATATGCCTTTTTTGCCTCTTGCATTAACTGTTACTCAGCACACAGCAGAGTGGCTGACTGCATCTCTCCTTGTCAGGTGCTGGAACTGGGAGCAAGAAGTACATGGTCAGACTGCTGACTTACCTGCCAGGTACACCAGTGGCAAAAATCACTACCAATGCCCAGATTCTGTATGAGATTGGGAGGCTCGCTGCCAGCATGGATAAAGTGCTCTCAGAGGTGAGTTCTCATGCTTTAGCCTCACTCTTCTCTCTTAATCCATGTCTCTTCAACATTTGCTCACGTGCTTGGTGCCTGCTTTTGAGACCTGCAAAATGCAAGTTGGTGACTGCAGATGTCAGTGACTGATGGCTCAGGTGCCAGCCTCCAAGGTGGCTAAAGCCTTTCCCCAAGTACATGACAAGTGACATGGTACTGGTGATCCTTCTGCAATGCATTTTTGTACCACGAATAGGGAGATAAGGAGTTCTTTTTACTTATGCAAAGCTCGCCTGTTAGTTTTCAAACCTGGCAAATAAAGGAGAATGAACCCTAGGGTGCTCCAATTAGAAGAACAGAATGCCAAGCTTGTTTTAAAGGATTTTTGTGGAGTGCTCAGCTGGCTGATCTATTATTTTGAATTCCTTTTGACTTGCTGACTTTCTTCTCTTCATTAGCACTGTGACCATTTCACACTGATACTCTCCCTGCAGTGCCAGCCGTGCCAACAGAGATCTGTGACACTTCTCGTTTGCACCACTTCCACTCAGTCTTAATGCAAACTAAGTTCTTTACTCTGTATTTACACAGGATAATAAAGCTGATCAATCAGCCAGTACTAAGTTTGATGCATGAAAGACTTCACATTATTTTATTAACCTTTCATTAACCTTTCCTTCTCATGTTCTGGCTACCAGCTTCACACAGTTATGAAATGTGAATTGTCAGTTTTACTAAGCACATTCTTAAATTACAAGAGCATTTTCAGTTGTGAAAGATCACTTACTGCTTCTTTCTGACACACTGGTCACACTCTTATAATGTGGTTAAAATAAGCTAGCCTCAAAATATGCTGTGACTGATCCTGCTAATAAGAAAGTAGTTAATGAGAAGCAATTCTGATGGAAAAGGCTCTTTATTCCCTTAACACATGGATTATCATCCACCAAGGTGGTTTAGGCTTGATCTTGTTCTCTACTTGTTCATACACCATCTACTTTTGATTTTCATTTAGTGATCTTTAAGAGCCTTAATTACAAACATAGTTTTTGTAGTTTTTTCCTTAAAAGGAGGCCAGCTACTCTTGTGGGAAGTTGTTTCGTTTTTTTTTAATTTGCCCTATGCACTGATCCCGTCTGGCCCAGAGGTTTCCTTAATAAGCATTTGAGGAGTCCAAGATAAGCATGGGGTGTGTAGTGGGAGAGATGCTTTTCCTCTTTGAATGTCACTTTCCAAACCATCCCTTCCATTTGCTAGTGAGAGAAGAGTTAAGGATCTTGTATGTTTGAAGTAGTGAGGGCTGGATGCAAATTTTCATAAGCACAAAGCCATGGTCAGTGTCTCCATAAACTATGGTGCTCAGGATTTTCCACACACCAGCTGCTAAGGCTCGTCCCCTAAAGGTGCCACCTTTAGAAGCACAGAGTGTGCCTGCTCCCAGCAGGCTGGCAGGCTTTGTGTCTCTGGTGCTCCCACAGCTTTCTGCAGCCCTAGCTGTGTAGGCTGAGCTCTGCCAGGGTGGACTCTGGCCTTGGAAGAGGCTCAAAGTTGCTACTCTAACATCACCCTATGGACAGACAACAGCAGTTTTACATTATTGAAGTGACAAATGACTTAAGGTAATCTTTGTACCTAAAACATGGGAAAAACCATTCAGGCTGTATGTAGATATTAAGATGCTTGCTTTAGTCATTCTTCAGGTTGTTCTTTTACATGATCTAAAACAACAGTCCAACTCATGGTGCTTTTCAGTGAGTCTTGTTAGAAACCTGTTGAAATTAATAGGGGTTTTGAATCAAGCCATTTAATCATAAAGTCTGCAATTTTTTTTAATGCCTATATTATTGTGTGCTTTTTCCAAAGAAATTCCAGCATCCATCAGTAAAAAGTCTGCATCGAGGTCAGTTCATTTGGAATCTGGCAAATGTTCCTCTTCTAGATCAGTACATTTATGCCTTGGGCCAGAACAAATCCTGTGCAGTGGTGGAGCAAGTTATTGAGCAGTTCAAAGGCAAAGTAATTCCCAAGCTAAGCAGTTTCCGAGCCTGTGAGTATTTTATTCTCATTGTAATCATGTTGAACTGAGACACAGAAATTTCATACAGGAGTTTGGCTCTGTAGAGAAGGAAAACAAAAAAAACAAAAGAAGTAAATCTCTTTTCCTTAGCCTAGACATGGACATAGCAGAGAGTAAGCCAAGAGGAATGTTCTGTCCAGTCAGGGTCAGTTATTTATTTTTCTGATGAGTTTCCTCCCATTTAAGTTTATGATTTTCGTGCTGTTATACCAGCTTACTAAATATATAGAGTACAGTGCTACCTTTCATAAAGGCCCAAATAAGTACTTAATCCAAATTTTGGAATTCAGATTACATTGATATTGATGATGAGGTGACAGTTCTATAGTTGGAAACTACTGTTGTGCGTTTGTGAACACGCGGTGTGTTGCAGATCACAGCAGCCTGGAGCGCCATCCCGCAGTGTCCTCTGCTGTCAGTCAGCTGGCAGCGCAGTGGAGCTGCACGGGAAGCACCAAAGGTGCCACAGGCACAACTTGGTGCTGCAGGGGACTAGTGTGGTTTCTAGCTGAGTGTTAGTTTGATGTGCATCTTCCTAAAGCTGTTTCAGGTGTTTAAGTTATTAAAGACTGTTTCTTTTTCTTCTGTGTTTAGGTATCAATCATGGAGACCTTAATGACCACAATATTCTAGTAGACTCCAGTTCTGCTTCCCTGGTGAATCCCCAGTACAGAGTGTCTGGCATCCTGGACTTCAGCGACATGAGTTATGGGTATTACGTGTTTGAGGTTGCGATAGCCATCATGTACATGATGATCGAGAGCCCAGACCCTCTGAGTGTAGGGGGGCATGTTCTCGCGGGGTTTGAGAGCATCCTGCCGCTCACTGCTGAGGAGAGAGGTGCCCTTTTTCTCCTGGTGAGCGGGAGGTTTGCACAGTCCCTCGTCATCGCTGCCCACACGGCTCTTCTGTACCCAGAGAACAAAGAGTACCTCACGATCACGGCGAAAACTGGCTGGAAACACTTAATGACAATGTTCGAGGTGGGCCAGGAAGCTGTGGAGAAGAAGTGGTTTGAGACTGCCCAGGTGTACACGCACCACGCATCTGCCCCATAGGTCCGCGGCTGCTGCGGTACTGGGGGTGCCACCGGACTGAATAAAAGCACAAATCAAGCAATAAAGGTGGCGCTGTCTGAGCTGGATGGGTAGTGTCCGCGGGCAGGACGGGACCTGACTCATCTCCCTGGGAGAGAAAACCAGGGCGCAGGGGTGTGGCCATCACCGCCCTCACAGCGGGGGAAGGGTACGTGGCCATTGTGGCAGGAGCCGGGCTCTTTCCGCCCTCACGCCGGGGGCGCTGAGCCCGTTCCCTGCCCTCACGCCGGGTGCGGTGTGCCCGTTCCCTGCCCTCACGCCGGGGGCGCTGTGCCCGTTCCCTGCCCTCACGCCGGGGTGCGCTGTGCCCGTTCCCTGCCCTCACGCCGGGGTGCGCTGTGCCCGTTCCCTGCCCTCACGCCGGGGGGCGCTGTGCCCGTTCCCTGCCCTCACGCCGGGGGGCGCTGTGCCCGTTCCCTGCCCTCACGCCGGGGGGCGCTGTGCCCGTTCCCTGCCCTCGCGCGGTGGGCGGGGCCGTTTCCCGCCCCTTTCGGCGGAGCTCGGGCACGCCCGCGTGACGCTCCGGACCGCGCGCGCCAGCGCCGCCCCCGGCGACAGGAAAGGGCGCAGGCGTGAGTGAGCCGCGGCTGCTGCCGGGGCGCGGCGGGGGCGGGGGCGGCGCGCCCGCTGCAGGGGCCCGGCTGCGGGCACCAGCGGCCAGCCCGGGGTCACCGCATGCCTGGGTCTGTTATATAGGGGCTTTATGGCGTTGGTGATACTTACTGAGCCGTTCCTTTTACAGTCTCGAAGATATGACTCCAGAACTACCATATTTTCTCCGGAAGGTATTTTTTTTACCCGACACTTTCAAGTCAGCTTTGACTGTTCTGTCTTCTCAAAACTATCAAAGCACTTGCACAAAGGGTGGTTGTTAGTAGCATGTTTCTGTCTGAATATGAATTACAGATATCATATTTGCCCACACCCAGTTCTGTAGGGACAGCAAGGGTCCAAAGTGGACACTTTCAAATTCATTCTAATTGAAGCAATAATAAGACTGAGTCCCATTAGCGAGTAGTATCATGTGCCATGTTTTTGAAATAACCATTTATCTCTTGTTTGAGCATGGATAATATCCTGCGGGTGCAGTCATGCCTCTCCTTGTTATTCTTGCACATGCAGAAACAAGTATGTACAAACCACGTTTTCTTACTTCTTAGATGGGAAGAACCCAAGAAATGCAGTATAAAATATTCTATTTATTTATTGAAAATATGTCTTGTGTTATTCTAGTGCAGCACAGAGTTCTTTAATTTTATTTTTTTTAATAGAAAGGTGGTTTGTTTTGGGTTTTTTTTTAATACAAAGGGGTTTTTTCTCCAGTGGCCATGTCCAATATTACCTTATTTTCCTTCTGTGAATCCTTCCTCCTTTTCAGCCCATTAATTTTGGTAAGAGGCTGAAGGAGTAGATGGGACAGTGAGCACTTGTCAGATTCTTGTAGCTTTCAGTCACCCTGTGCAGTTGGTCTTGTTCAGTGTCACCGTTTGACGACAGGCATTGCAATCCCTTGCCAGGCCGCCTGTACCAGGTGGAGTATGCCATGGAGGCCATCGGCCACGCGGGCACGTGCCTGGGAATCCTAGCAAACGATGGAGTTCTGCTGGCAGCGGAGCGCCGCAACATTCACAAACTGCTCGATGAAGTGTTCTTCTCAGAGAAGATATACAAACTTAATGAGTAAGTTGAAATGGTGATTAAATGTCCTGTGGTGTTATTACCAGCAAAGTGCTGATTAGCACATAACCTGGTCTTATTTTATTTGAAGTGTTAATAATCTTTTTGTTTGGTGTTTTAGACAAGTATGACTATTCTGTCATTGTTCACTTTAGTAGTTCCCCTTCTAAAGTAGAAGTATTGCTGGTTTGTTATTTTTTTATCTCCAGGAAAATTTTCTAGGTGAAATAGCCTGTTTGTTGGTACTATGCCATACAAGGTAATAGTATTGTAACAGTTAAGAAAACTGGAAAATCTCAGCTTTACAAAATACCACTGTGGGGCAGAATAAAGAGGGCACACAAAAATTACCATGCTATTTCAGCTCCCTTTCCACATCTGTTTTTCTTTTGTGGCTCAAAAAGTCCGAGGTAACTGAATAAAATGTGCCTTAGGCTTCTTTGCCACAGTTGTAGCAGAGATGAAACATCTGCCTATTATAATTTTCATTCTAGCTCCTGAAAGTTAAATTTGTGATATCAGAGCAAAGAATTTTATGGATTATGATTTTTTGTTGCAAGGGAGGTAGAGCTTCATCCTTGACAAAAGCTGCAAATGATCACAAGTAATTTTCCATCCTGTCTTGCCTCCCATTCCACGCTGATCTTGAAAGCACCTGGAATGGTAGGAAGTACTGGATTTTCAAGGAGGCAGTGTAACAGCACACTGGAGTAGTCACCTAGAACAGCCCTTCCATCTTTTGGAAGATTGCTAATTTCACAGATCTTTTCTGTGTAGCAAAAGGTTTGTAGCATATCAGATTGAGCTAAAGAGATACTAAATTAGGATCCAACAAAACAATCAAGGATTGAAGTGCTTATTTTTCTTAGGACCCTACCAAGACCATGAAGTTTGTTACACAGATGCCATGTGTCAGCCAGCAGCTCCCACTGAAGGCCTGTCACGTCTGTGTGGCTCCTTCAGTGTTGAGATGTGCTGTGTCAGGTGGCCTCCTGAGAGGTGCCTAATAGCTCTTGTAAAACCACTCAGGACTTAATCATCCTGGGCAGAGCCCTCTTCTCAGAACTGTATGTATAACTGACATACTGGCTTTGGCTGTCCACCTCTGCTCTTAGCAAATAGTTACTGATATTTTTGATGCACCGTAAAGGCAGGAGCTGATGAACCCATTTTGTGTGGCAGCTGTGTAGCTTTGATGAGCTGCTTGAACCTCTGTATGAAGATGTGAGTGTTGGTTGGAGATTAACAGGAATTCAGTTAATTTGTATGCTTTTCTTGCAGGGATATGGCATGCAGTGTTGCAGGAATAACTTCAGATGCCAATGTTCTAACAAATGAGCTGAGACTGATTGCCCAGAGGTAGGTCTGCTGACAGCTAGCATGGTTTTACTCACCTGTGCTGTCACATTCAGCTCTCTATGCACTAGATCAGAATGAACATGCATTTAGTAGATCAGAAGTAGGTTGAAGTAGAACAGCTAGATCACAGACACTCTAACTTGGGAACTTGCTTCCTCTTAAATGTTGTGCAGGATATGGTCAGCAAAACAAGTTTTGAAAACTGTTTTTTTTTTCCTCTTTGATATTAGGTATTTGTTACAGTATCAAGAGCCTATTCCTTGTGAACAACTAGTAACAGCACTGTGTGATATCAAGCAGGCTTATACACAGTTTGGAGGTAACGAAGTGTGATGAATCATTGTGTTACTAAATGTCTCAAGAACAATTCTTACATAATATGAAGGATCTAAGTCTGTGGACAGTTCTACTGAATTCTCTTAAAAAGTTATACTTGGGAAAAACAGCCTAATTTAAGAGGGGAATGGGTAGTCATGGTTACTGTTTTTTGTTGCCCATGCTTCTACTTTTTATGGCTTGGGTAATTGATGGCTGAGATGCTGGCTTATTGCATAGAATGCTTTGAGTGCTCTTGCATTTAATGAATGCCATCAAAAGACCAGCAGACAATTGTTTAAGCAACCTTTCAACATTTTGGGCCCATCCAGCATAACAGCACAATGAATCAAAAACAAGGCTGTATGTAGGGGTATCAATATTCTAACACTTGAAAAAAGTGCTGTTTATGTGGCTCAAGCAATATGTTAGAAAATTATATTGTAAATAGTAACTGATGATTGTGTTGTTTTACATCTACGTAGTGGGAGAGAATTACCTTTTAAACTACTTGGCTTTTGACGTTGCTAAGTTAAATGCTTTAACAGCTAAGCTACATACTTGAAATACTAAATTTTGATTTAAAGTTCTGAGATAGTAAATTACAATTTGTGGAGACACAAATGAACTGCTTTTAAGGTTAAATGGAATAAACCTCTGCTGCCTCCCACCCCATGACTTAGAAGGAAATGCTGGCATGCTTATCTCAAAGAACAGAAGTGCAGAACTGTGTTAAATCCTAGTTCACAGGAATAGATTGAAAAACGAAATCAAAGAAAATAATTGTAACTCATGACCAATCTTGTTACTAAATTTAGGTTGCTAATAGCCTTCTTTTCAACAGGAAAACGTCCTTTTGGTGTTTCATTGCTCTATATTGGCTGGGATAAGCATTATGGATTTCAGCTGTACCAAAGTGATCCTAGTGGAAATTATGGAGGGTGGAAAGCCACATGCATTGGGAATAATAGTGCTGTAAGTTCTGGGTTTTTTCTTCTCACAAAGACAAGTTAAAAAGTGTCAATTGTACTGTATGAATTAAGCTGAGTGATTATTAGTGTGGGAGAGATTTACAGGCAATTGTAGGAATGCTGCTGTTAACTCATGTGTTGGTATCATCTGGCAAAACCCCACACCCCGGCTGTGCGGTTGATTGCCTGAAGACACACTTTAAATTCTGTGAAATTTACAGGCAGCAGTGTCAATGCTGAAGCAAGACTACAAAGAAGGGGAAATGACTTTAAAGACTGCCCTGGCATTGGCCATTAAGGTTCTAAACAAGACCATGGATGTCAGCAAGCTCTCTGCTGAGAAAGGTGAGCATTCTCTGCAACGGACAGCACCCTCTGCTTAAACAGAGGGAGCAGTGAGTGCACATACTCCAGATGTGGCTCACTGGAGCGTTAGTTGTCACAAAAAAAATGTTTTCAGAAGATGCAGCAGTTCTCAGCCTTAGCCTAAGAGGCACTCAGATAGCTTAGTGCAGGCTGGTGGGCCCTGTTTGCCAGCTCCAGAGGCGAGGCTGCAGCTGGGGGATTGCAATGCCTGCGTGTCTGGGGGCAGAGCCCTGGGAGGAGCTGCCCTGCTGCTGTGCTCTGCTGCAGGAGGGAGCTGTGGGTGGCTGCCTCCAGCCAGGCTGCGTGGCACAGGGAGCTCTGGAGCCCTCTGCCCCACTGTCACTTGTCATCTCAAACCT